AAACATTCCACATTTTTGCTAGTTTCAGCTTCAATGTCCTTTTGATTCATAAAATATAGCTTGCTCACAGGGATGTTGCAACAAATAAATGTACTACTATGTTTGTAGGGTTTACCAATTATACGGATCAATGCTGAGAAAGCCATGTAGGAACTAGCCTTTCCCGGTATTCGATAGCATGAAGCATATTCACTGTGTTTCATGAGTGGTCACAGGCTGAATGGTGAGAATAAACTGCAGTACTGGTCAGCTGTCTCACTCCCCCCAGACTGTCCCTCCTGTTCAGCTGGAAAGCTGATTCTCTCTCGGAAAACCTCAGTGATCTCACAGCGTACATATAAAGGACGAAACGCCCTCACCAGGCTCCAGCTCTTGTCCTCCACTGGCATCCACCGCTTGACAGCATAACCCCAAAAGTGTCCAGGGCAAAACAAGTCAATCCAAGCGGCACAATGATCCCGTGCCTCCCACGCCTACATGCAGGAAACGGTGCATTACAGAGACCCAGTTCACTTAACAGCCACGCTCTGCCCCGGGACTCAGCAGGCAAAGGCATAGTGTTTCCGAGGAAGTGCATGAAGCTATTCGTCCTTCCGTCTCCCTCCAGGTGGGAAGTGGATCTAGTGGCAGATATAACTAGAAATATAGTAAATATAACTAAAAGAATTATAAACATATGTACAGGCTTTTGAGCAGACTGTAAAAAAACATGACAGGTACACTGGGTAGGCAGTTATAAAATACTGCTAAGGCGGCGGTTTCCACACAGAGTACAGTCACACTGAAATGGCTTATCTAATGTTAGAAATAGCAGCCCACAAATGATCCCCGCAAAAACAAAGCCAGAGTCCAAGTATTTCTGAAACCAGTCTAAATATTTATTCTTCCTTCAGGTTAGGAAACGGCTTTGTTTTCTGGCTTTCATACCATGATCTCTACCAACCACATTTAAACAGGTTTACCCAATATTTCATATATTCTCTCATAAAAGTTCTATCTTTGCATTTGTAATTATTCTGTGTTCTCAAAACCAAGGAGAGCTTGCATTAAATTAAACTGGCTTAGACCTTTTCCTCACAGCCCTTCATAACCAGCTTATAAAATTCTGGAATCTGACAGCGCAGCATCCTTAGCAAAGACAATCATTCATCCACTACTCATCCTGCATGGCTACATTTATTTATTAATGCAATATTTCTGTAAAAACTAATATTGTCTTTCTATGCATATATTTTCAAAGTAAATTCCTTTTTATTGCAATAATTATTGGCAAAACAAGCAAGACATTTTGAAAACTATTCAGGCACTATAATGCTGCTTATAAACGTCCCCTTTCCAAGTGCCACTGTTAATTTTAGGAGCAGCTTTTATAATCCACATTACAATCACAAGGTAAACTCACAAAAGCTATTCAAGACAATCTACTGGATCTGCAGAAAAATGCACTGGGTTTAAGTTAAGTTTTAGAATTTGACAGCAGAAACACCATCAAGAGTACAAAAAAGGACTTATGAAATCCAGTTTGATTCCAAATGAAATACATGGAATTTTACCCTAACATAACAAAAAGGAAACCTGTATATGGCAGGCAACTGACTGTAGACATGCTACTTTGCAGCAAAGCATAGAAGGGAAAGGCACAAAAAACAGTGTAGTGATTGCACAGTCTTGAGACAAAGTGTGCAAGTACGATTTGGGATGATTTGTGATTAAGAGAGCCAGTTCTTCTCATATTTCCTAGGAATCTGTTACAATTATGACCTGTCTAATATTATACATTTTCTCACAGTTAGCATTATGGTATCAAAGCATCAACAGGTATAAGGGCATGAGGAAACAAAGGTAGCGCTGCCTTCACAAAGAAAAAGCTTCCTGCACATCGCTATCGCTATCGCTATGCAAGTGGCCCAAATGCACGCATCACTGCCTGGCACCTTTGTCCTACTAAAAACAACATACCACCTTGTAAACTGGCATTGTGCCACCCTGACAGATGGACTTAAGTGTAGGCAGCCAAGAGACTAGGCATACACATCAAATATGTTTTTTGAGAGCAGGACTTCCAGCCAGGAATGTTAAAACAGCTGTCCACATTGAGCTTGCATGCCTATACTTAAGAGGATATGCTAGTGCCACTCGAGCCCTGAGCTGGATTAACTTGGAAAATAAAATAGCTTCCACAGCCACATAAGGTGAGTTTTTGCAGAATTAGGATTAGTGATACTGAGGGGTGTTTACTGACCTACAATTAGTGAGAAAACTTAAAGAGTTGTAAAGAAGTCTTAAAATTTGCAGCTCTATGGAACTTTTATAACATGTATGCTTGTACACAAATGCTTCTCATTTGAATATATGTATACCTGTTTGTTAACTCTCAGAAAAAAAAGAGTGCAATGCAAGCATGCTACAAACAAATATGTTAATGACTTTCCATTTTGAGTTAGAGGATACTAATTTTTTTCCCAAACTTAACTGTCTTCACTGAGACACATTCTCATGTGAATTGGATCTGTTTCACTAGGCTTTCTTTTCTTTTCAAAATTTCTGAACTTCCACGGCCCAGTACTATACTTTTCATTTGCTCATGTCTACATGCATAGAGGTATTTTACATTCTGATATCATTTGCATAACTTGCCCCAGTAATAAAACCATGCTGCCTCGAGAAATGAATATTGCATAACGTCAGACGTGGTGGTGACTGAGTGGCAGAGTCGTGCCCTAGCCATATTGATTTTGTCCCCTGCCCCTCTACCCATGCATCCATCCTCGCAGGACATGGCACTTTCCAAACCTCTGAGATGATTCAAAAACCATGTTTGTTCACACCAATGTGCCAGATGATATTCTTCCCCCCATGCCCCCCAACTCAGATTTTACTTCTGTGCCTCAAAAAGTCACGGGCCTAAGTCTAAAGAGAGATAAATACTCAAACCTGAACTAGTTAAAAAGTTTCCTCAGAATTTCAGGCTAATCAAAGAGCTCACAACGTCATGGTTTCCAACAGAAAGCAACACTTACTTCCAGCCCTGTGTGGCTTAAAGACTGAAAGGAAGTGATATATTTTACTGAACGTGCTCATTTTAATTCTTCTCACTATGAGCCCTGCACAGCTGGATAGCTGGTGTACATTTTTCATTTATACTTTAGTTGGATATCTAATCTTTACTTTTCTGAATCACTACTTATGGACTTTGAATCTGTGATGGCATTCCCAGTGTAGCTCAGAGCTGAACTCAAGTCCCTAGCTATGGGTCACATACAGTCAGTCTCTGAGCAGCTGCTAGCGTGCTTTTACCTTTGTTAACTTTAAAGGCGATCTTCGCAACAATTAACAGTTATCTGAATCATTTGTAACAATGTAATTGTAATAAAATTTTGCTAGGAGCACTTCAGTAGCGAGCACGGTTTCTCTGGTGCATGAGGATTTCAGAAGCCCGACCTTGCTTCCCCCTTTGGCGAGGACTTTCCTCCTCCTCTGACACTGCTCATCTCTTTCACCCTCCAGTCTTCTTCTACAGCCACTCCACTTCCTTTTTCTTTCCTTGAGGTTTTTGAGGACTGTGTGAAATCATCTATCAGCAAAAGTTTTGGTCCCCTTTCCGCTGTTCCAAACTACAGATACAAATCTTAACAAGAAGATTTATTTTTACTTTTTTCTTAGTGCTAATAAAGTTGATTCCTGGTCAATTTAAATTTCTGTACCAGTTAACCTTTCTCAAAGGAGAAGGAGAGAGGGAAAATACTTGGTTGCCTATTCAATATTTCTTCAGGCAGAGTAGGAGTGCTGTGAAAAGGACAGAAAAAATACAGGTAATACTATCTTTCCTTCTGAAAACCAACAATGCCTCAGGCTTTCTCAAGACATTGCACATAGAACTGGCTTTACAATGGTTCAGGGAACAGTCAAATTGCTGGAGAACTGGTCAAAAGGAATATAAAAATACTGATCCAGCTCTACTACTTTCGCTTACTAAGATGATCAAGATAGAATGATTGTATCCAAGGCTATCCCAAAGATCAACTGAAAATGGTAATGCTGAGCATCCAAAACCATTTAGTAGTTCTCTCAGACCAGTAAGTGCCTCCCCTTATTTGAAAGCTATCTGTCAGAGTGAGATTCATTGCTCATAAAATTATCTAAGATACTAACATAAATTCAGAGGCCAGTGAACCTTCTTATGCACACTATAAGGAAGTTATGCTGTTAGTTATAACCTCTAACCACCAGAAGAGTTTGGTAGCCAGTTATGTGAGAAACCCCTTTCCACATGGTAAGAATGACTTTCAATGGGAGCATCTGTATCTGCCAAAAGCCAGGTGCTAGCTATTAACAGATAGGAGGAGTGTCACTTTGATAAGTGTCATTTGAGCTCCAGTGAAGGTTTTACTTTCTGTTTTATCAACGCTTTTAACTCATTCTTAGCTCCCAGACGATTTACTAAGGACCGCCACAATTCATTGCTTATTATAGATAAATAAACGCTGCAAAAGTAAAACACGGCTGATCTTTCGAAACATTATAAAACATTATGCTATAAAACATTATTGTTATAGTGACTCCAGGCTAAAAGCAGGCTGATCAAAATTTAGAAATATATTGCTTCTGTATTAGCAAAAAAAAATGAAGGGGCACGGTTAGCTTTAAAAGGGCTCCCTGAAGAGGTTACCTGCTAATGCCAAGTCCTGAAAAGCATGAGAGAAAGCAGCCGTCTCTGATTCCCTGATACCTTATCCCGCACCCTGGAGGGTGCGAGTACAGTCACTTTTACGCACACACTGTTAGTTTCACCTGTTACTGCTGTTCACAGTTCCGTAATGAAGGGAAGAAAATATTATAAAACAGGAAAGCGCGGCAAGTTTACTTCAAAGTTTACTTGAAAAGGAAAGCCTAGCACCACCACAGTACAGAAGGCACAGAGCAGAAGTGCCTTTAACTGGAACACCTTGGAAAGATGTGTTTTTTAGCGTTTCAAAGCACCCTTCACTTAGCTGCCTTACCTAGGTAAAGCGAGGCGTTTTCTTTCTTGACATTGTCATCTAAGTAGGTTGGTCCCAAGGTATAGATGGGTGTCGAGCCCATGCCAATGAGGATTTGGGCACAAATGAATAAAGCTACATAGAGGGAGTGATCGTTTCCGCCAGAGTCCTTGACACAGGCCGGCGAATCCAGCGGCTCTTTGGCGGTGTTATTGCCAGTCATGCACAAGCCCTCGTTACTGACGGAGGAGTTCAGTTCCTGGATCTGGTACGGCGGAGAGATGAAGTGAGGTAACGAAAAAAGCGCAGCCCCCAGCGCAATGAAAAACCCACCTACGGCCAGCCAGAGCGGCCTCCGTCCGCGCCCCCCGAAGTAGCTGATGAACACCACCACCACCAGGCTCCCGATGTCGAAACAGCTGACCAGCAGCCCCGACTCCGAGCTCTTCAGGCTGTATCTCCTCTCGATGGTGGTGATGACGCTGCTCAGGTAGCCGGAGACCATGAGGGACTGGATGAAGGTCAGGAAGCACATGCACACCAAGAAGAAGCGCGAGTCGGCCAGCGCGGCCCTGAGGCACGCTCCGGCGGGCAGGCCCAGCAGCGGGGCGGCCGGGGGCACGCC